TTAATATGACACGCGTCCTATAAAAAAGCACATACTCACATCGTTTTATTTACAGAGAACACAAAAACATATGCCTGGACAAAAAAGGAACTCAAAATGATATAACAAGATATATAGTTGTAAGAAAAAAGTTAAAAGTACAGTTTCTTGTTCTTCAGCTATAAGTCTGGTGCAACTTTGGTTTCACAACTTCATACTACACTATTTACCCTCAATTTTGAACCCAAATAATTCGGTCCTTTGCGCAACACAAAGTAGTGTGATGGACCACATGTCATTAGGTATATACCCATGGCAGGACAATCCACAAAAAAGAATATGTAGATGATATGCACTTTAAAATTAAAAGATTTATGAAAATGAATGTTATATTTATTTAAGGAGTATTTTGCAAAAGAAAAGAAATATGCTTAAAATGTTCTAGGAACTTTACAAAAAACAGTGTGAGTATACACAATTCCTAAAAAAATACATAAAGGATAATAATTGTTTTTAGAAAAAGATACTCAGTCCATAGAAAGATGAGTGGATATTAAACATAACTCATGAAATGGTACTATTTCAAGGATGTTACTTACCTTATTATTTTTTACAGTTGTTATTTTAAATGTGTCTTGATTTTAAAATTTATTTGGCTTCAAATTCACTGATAAAGCTTATCATAAAGGTGTCATTTTTCATATTTCCCTTTTTCATTTACAAGTTTGCTTTTACTATATTTTTTGGATAGTTTGCCACGTACACGAGACCACTTCAGGTCATGCTGAATTTTTCTTTTGATTGAGGTGAAAGATCAAATTTATTGGATTCTCATGGTGAGATACTATGAGCAAACCAACAATGGAAAGGATCATACAAGCAGCTAGTTCTTCGTTGACAAAGATGTGTGTGCATTTTTAAAAAGATAACCATGTCACGAAAGTCACAAGCACAGAGTTGTCCAATCTTCACCTCAACATCATACTTACAAAAGCCAACAATTATCATGTCCCCAATATTAATACATCCTCTCGAATATCTACACGTCCAAAATGTACCAAACATGAGCAATAATTACTAATAGCAAGCAAGGATTTGAGTTGCAACAAAATATGTCACAAGAGGGCAAAAAAATCAAGGGAAGCACAAGTATTTAAGTGGAGTAGGTAAATGCCCGTGCATTGCAACGGAGCATACTTAATTTAGTGATTCAACATCAAATGTGCACGACATAACCGTTAGCAACCTCATCGACATCAGGCGTATTGTCGAAGTTTTTGACGAATTAATCACTCTTCTTGAGTGGTCGTTGTTTCGATGGGAAAGAAGGGTAGACACATGACATCGGGAAGGGGCTTACCAGAGAGAAAAGACATCGCAAAGCAGCACCATGAAGTTGTTGGTAGCTGCAGGCCTCTATCGTGGCTACCATGATTGCACTACATGTTGTTGTACTTCTATGCTTATATGGAGATGTTGTAAGGCATGAAAGCTAACAAGACAACCCCAAAAAAACTAACAAGAAAATCCAAAGGAAGCCCTCGTTAGTCATTATAATTCAGATTTAGTACAATTTTCCTTTGCTTTGGCATGAGAAAGCAGGATCATTTTCTGGTACATACTGAATATAAAAAATCCTTATTCAACATTACAATGCTTTCAAGCTTTCAACGGCTTTTCTTCGCTATTTCTAACCATCTTCTAGCTCCTCATGTTTACCATCTTCTAGCTCTCTCTCCACTTGATCATCTTGATGCATGCCGCCATCACAGCAAATCTTACCTCCACAGTCATTGTTACTCATGTGTATCAATTTCACATAAGCAAGACATTGATGAGAAGATGGAACATGATTTTATTCAAGTGGGTAGATGAATATCTGATCAAGTGGAAGAAGAATTAAGAATACATATTTATTCCATGAGGTATAAGAGAAATAATAATAAACTCGCCAAGGAGGAGAAACAAAATATCGTCCTAACATTCACAAACAAAAAATATACACTGCTAGAAAAAAACTAAGCATCATGGGCAACTAAACCTAGACCAAAGATAAATATCAGAGATGTAATAAAGTGGGGCTCGTAATTTAATATAAGTGGAGTTACACACGCCCAACACAAGACTCATTTTAGTTCTTGCTCTGCCTACTTTTCTGGGAAGCATTTTGGTCCTCCATACTACACCCTTCGTTTTTTCGAACGAGGGAGTACATTCCTAGTTACATAAGCAGGAATGAAAATATGAATAGTAAATTGATTACTCCCTTTAGTGATCTGGAAATGTAGCAGAAAGTATTCTCACATTCTTCCCCAGAGGTGATCCTAGGTTATCCAACCCACAGGAGGAAGGTCCCCTTTAAGCCAGGATCTCTAGCAAGCTTTTGTTAAAGAAACAATTCCAGCTTTTGACCGGATCGAAATCAAACAACCTGGAGTAAAACACTTATAACAAAATAGGCACGAGTATGAGGTCTTAATGCTTACAACCATTCATTTGCGTTGGGACCAAATATAATTTTAATTTGTGCGCTGGAAGTCACCCATCGAGACGTGCTTGTTACCAACCGATGTGGGGATGTGCCAAAATCACGTCTTGATCGGCACACGTCCTGCATCAAGAGTTAGTTGTCCAACCAAAGGCCCTATCCATCTCGCAGGTTACCTGGATAATTAAGATTAGGATGTTCAGTGACCACACCTCTTGAATCCTCATGGATAAGATCCGTGTTCCCGTACTAAATCATTTTATCATTGCTTTTCATAATAACAGTTCACGGTCTACTTGCACTTAGCCCGTCCGTGGCTCGCTCTCCATGATCCTGGGTACATGCAGGGATGAAGAACACAGACAAGAAAAGAGACATCTATGGAATAATTTTATTTTACACATACGGGACGTTATTTCAAGCCACTTCCATTGACCCCACAACAAATACAGAAGGTTGCAAGGCTCTTGCCTCAACCCATACCTTACCAAACTACTCTTACATAAAAATCAGATCATAGGAAGACCACATTGGAAAACACATCATGGAGATTGATTGATTGATAATACGTCTTACAATGAATGCCGTGTGCGATGCACAATTGCAAGTATGATCTAGAGGGAAAGGAACTACGGTGCTGATGGCGGCTATGGAGATGGTCAGATGGAAATGGCGGCGGCTCGGGTTGATGGAGATGATTTAAGATGACTCTGTTCTGGCTTCGCTCGCGGACTGTTAACATTTTGGCTTCGACTCCTTTATAAAAGTTGTTCAAGTGGATGAGAGGCTCGGTTTCTACATGTTGCTTTACTGGTTGTTGAATTTCTTTGTACCAATTGACCCAAATTTAATGGGTTGCCAAATATTGGTCGTTTATTGATTTTGTACCGATTGATCCGAATTTAATTGGTTGCCAAATATACCAAAGATTTATTAGGTTACTACCAAAGATTGATAAAAAATTTATTTGTACCGATTGACCAGAATTTAATGGGTTGCCAAAGATACCATATTGCTAAAGAAGAGATTGGTTACAATACATGAATTACTTTTTTTGAGGGGAACAATACATGAATTACTTGGTTACCAAAGATAGAAGAGTGGGTCTTTTCTCTTTTCCTGCAGAAAAAAAGAAGAAAAGAGAAGGGTTCTTTCCTCTCACAAAATTTAAAAAAGAAAAGAAAAAGGAGGAGTGGTGAACTAATCGAGGGGGTCGATGATCATGCAGATGGTATGGCGGAGCGCGGGAGCAAATATGGAGCCAACCGCTTGCCACTTGCGGCCTCCACATCATTTCTGTGACTCATCATGCATATGAGCCGCGTATGAATTGAACTGAAACCGCGGAGGGAAAAACGACGAAAATCAGGCTAGAATACGACCCCGCGAGCACCAGAAGCCCCCATCATTTGCGCACCGTACGGGATTTTGGTATTCTCCCTTTCATTCGCTCGCAATCGTACCTACGTACGTACGTACGAGACACCAGATGTACTACTCGGGGGCGAAAAGACGAGGCTGCCCTCAACGCCCCCCGCCGTCCTATAAATCTGCCCCGCCCGCACCCACGCCACACACACACAAGCACCCTTCACTTATCGGACGGACACTGGTGATAAGAGCCACGAGCGAGCTAGCCTCCGTCCGCGTCGCACTACACGACACAGCCGCGGTAGAGAGGGCTGTACTTGCCGGGAACCCGGTGCAGTGCCATGCCGGAAGCGCCGATGGCCGTGCCGGGCACGGCGGCGGGTGCGGGGGGCGGGGTCTGCTGGGAGGAGGCGCACCGCCAGGTGCTCGACCTCATCGAGCGCGTGACCCGGTGCGCGGGGGAGATACAGCGGCAGGTGCTGGTGGAGATCCTGGCGCAGAACGCGCCGGCCGAGTACCTGCGCCGCATCGGCGTCCCGGGCGCCGCCCCCGGCGCCGACGACGCATTCCGCCGCCTCGCGCCGCTCACCACCTACGAGGACATCCTCCCCGACGTCATCCGCATCGCCAACGGCGACTCCTCGCCCATCCTCTCCGGCAAGCCCATCAGAGAGTTCCTCACTAGGTACGCACGCACGCACGCATCGATCCGTCCGTCCATCACACCCTAGCCTGCTACGTACGTACGTACTGTACGTACATGTGTCCGTCTTGGCATGACTGGAGCGTTTGTGACGCCGATCTAATGGACGGACGAACCTACATGCAGCTCCGGCACGTCGGGAGGGGAGCGGAAGCTGATGCCCACCATCGAGGAGGAGATGGACCGCCGGTCCATGCTGTACAGCCTGCTCATGCCGGTCATGAGCCAGGCCATGCCGGGGCTCGACAAGGGCAAGGCCATGTACCTCTACTTCGTCAAGGCCGAGTCGCGCACGCCGGGCGGGCTGCCGGCGAGGCCCGTCCTCACCAGCTTCTACCGGAGCCGCCATTTCCTGGAGCGCCCCCACGACCCCTACACCGTGCACACCAGCCCCGACGAGGCCATCCTGTGCGTCGACGCGTACCAGAGCATGTACGCGCAGCTGCTCTGCGGCCTCGTCCACCGCGCGGACGTGCTCCGCGTCGGCGCGGTCTTCGCGTCCGGGTTCCTCCGCGCGATCCACTTCCTCGAGAAGCACTGGGAACGTCTGTGCCGGGACATCCGCACCGGCGAGCTGGACGCGGAGATCACAGACCGTGCCGTGCGCGCCGCCGTCGGCCGGGTGCTCCGCCCAGACCCGGCCCTCGCCGACGCGATCGAGGACGCGTGCAAGAGGTCTTCGTGGAAGGGCGTGATCCGGAGGGTGTGGCCCAACACCAAGTACATAGACGTCATCGTCACGGGAGCCATGGCCCAATACATCCCTACCCTCGACTACTACGGCGGCGGCCTGCCTCTGGCGTGCACTATGTACGCCTCCAGTGAGTGCTATTTCGGTCTAAATCTGAACCCGATCTGCAGTCCAGCCGACGTCGCCTACACGCTGATCCCGACAATGTGCTACTTCGAGTTCCTCCCCGTCCAGTCCGGCAGCAGCGCCGCCGGCGGCGAGCCGGACCACCGGGACCTCGTCAACCTCGTCGACGTGAAGCTCGGCAAGGAGTACGAGCTCGTCGTCACCACCTACTCCGGCCTGTACCGCTACCGCGTGGGCGACGTGCTCCGGGTGGCGGGGTTCAAGAACGCGGCGCCCATGTTCAACTTCCTGCGGCGGAAGAACGTGGCGCTGAGCGTCGATGCGGACAAGACGGACGAGGCGGAGCTCCATGCCGCCGTGAGCAGCGCCGTGCAGCACCTGGAGCCGTTCGGCGCGTCGCTCGTGGAGTACACGAGCTACGCCGACGCGAGCACCATCCCGGGCCACTACGTGCTCTTCTGGGAGCTCCGCGCGGGCGGCGGGTCCACGACCCCCGTGCCGGCGTTCGTGTTCGAGGACTGCTGCCTCGCCGTGGAAGAGTCGCTGAACAGCGTGTACCGGCAATGCCGCGCCGCCGACCGCTCCATCGGGCCCCTCGAGATCCGCGTCGTCTCCGAGGGCACGTTCGACAAGCTGATGGACCTCGCGCTGAGCCGCGGCGCCTCGATCAACCAGTACAAGGCGCCGCGGTGTGTGCGTCCGGGCCAGGTGGTGGAGCTGCTCGACGGCAGGGTGGAGGGGAGGTACTTCAGCCCCAAGTGCCCCAAGTGGAGCCCCGGGAACGCGCAGTGGACCGGCGGCCATGGCAAGACGCTGAGCACCAGTTAGTTCATGGGGTATATCGATCGGAGTTCATTAAGCTAATTATAAATTCGGTGGAGCGGCTAGTTAACTAAGAGAGGGAGAAAGGACGTGGTGGCCAAGTCTTGATTGGAGACTGATGGACGGTGGAGTGATCAGGAGCTGAGCCACACTACTAGCAGTACCATATAAGTCTCCAATGTTTGTTTAATTAGCTAGCTAATCATGGAGTGTCAGCTTAGCTAGGACGTATCTATGGGTTTTGTTTCTTTCTCTTTATGCTTTTTGTAATAAAGTAGTTGTAGCAGCGGTTGTTTTTTGTTTCTTTGTCATTTTTGGGTAATGTAGTAGACGCTCGATTTGTAAATGTAAGTCATCGGTCGTTAGTCTTTATAATTATGGACGCGCAGAAAATGTCATGTGCTCCCCGTTTGTGCTCCTGTATTGTTTAATTTTTGCTTATGGATTGCTAAATCGCAGTCGACTAAGACTTAACAAAGAAAAGAGAAAGGAGCTTCAGAGGTGGAGCGATAGATGGATTAGCAATGTGAAGCTGCAAATACACATTGCAATAGAAGTGATAAATCGTCTGGACATCGCAATGGATGATCGACAACTAATTGAGGCTGAGATGGGGCCCCGTAAGTGCTTGAAAAGGAAGTTGTTGGGCTTGTGCTCTCTTGAAAGATCTATTGCTCGGCAGAGGTCGCGTTTGGTTCAGTTGCGAGAAGGGGATGGCAACATTAGGCTCTTCCAACAAGCAAGTCATCGGCAGAGGAAAAACACCATCGGAACGGTGCGGCATAGCGGAAATATATACACGGGCCAAGATAGTGTGGCAACTGCGGTGGATGACTATTATGGTGAGGCTTTTGGGTCCTATGAAACAAGGATGCACGAGCTCAACTTGGAGGCTCTAGGATTGCCACGACTGGACCTAGCACACCATGAGGAGCCTTTTTCCATGGAGGAAGTTTTTTTTTTGAGAGAGTACGCCAAAGGTGTACCTTAGCTTTATAGAAGAGAGAACAAATATTTACAAGAGATTGTATGGTAGATCATCACAAGCCGACGATCCCACCCAACCACTCCCCTATCCTAGGCGGACTACTCGCAAAAACGTAGGACTCCTAGCACTCCCGCTAACTTCCAGAGGTGTAACTCCTGAAAGATTAGGTTCACCGTCGCGAGCTCATCACAAATAGCACCGGAATGAAACACCCTAGCATTGAGAAGGTTATTAAGTCCATGCCTCCGGATAAAGCACCGGGACCGGATGGATTCATGAGCCATTTCAACGCCACATGTTGGCATATCATACGTGAGGATTTCATGACAGCAGTGGCATGCTTCTACAATGGTGATGTGAGAGGTTTGGCGACAATTAATAAATCCCTTGTGTCCCTCTTACCGAAGAAGGAGGGTGCACTGGATGTGGGGGATTTCCGGCCTATAAACCTGGTACATGGGGCGGTCAAGATTTTCGAGAAGGTGCTTGCTTCTTGGCTCGTGGTGGAGTTGCCAAACTTGGTTGGGAATCATCAGATCGAGTGCTTTTGTCAAAGGTCGATCGCTGCATGACAACTTCATGCTAGTTCAGAGCATGGCCAGGCGCTTGCATGCTCTGAAAAACACTACAATGCTCCTGAAGCTGGATATCTCAAAAGCTTTCGACTCTGTCCAATGGCCGTTTCTTCTGGAGGTTATGGAGCAGCTCGGTTTTGGCGCAAGGTGGAGATCCTGGGTGTGTGGAATCTTAGCAACGTCCACAACACGAGTTATGGTGAATGGAGACCCAGGTGAAACTATGTACAACTGCAAGGGCTTGCGGCAGGGTGACCCCGTCTCACCAATGCTCTTCATTCTCACTATGGAGCCACTGCATCGGCTCTTTGAATGGGCTGCCCAGCGTGGGTTTTTGCAGCCGTTGGCGACAACAGGGTTGAAGAAAAGGATCTCAATCTTTGCGGACGATGTTGTCTTGTTTACCAAGCCAGAACCTATGGATCTTGCTATATGCAAATGCATTCTTGACCTATTTGGGGAGGCATCGGGCCTACACATTAACATGAGCAAATCGGTCGCGCTGCCGATACGGTGTTCGGAGCAGAGTATTGCCTTGGCAAGTCAGCATCTAGGATGTCCAGTGGGATCTTTCCCGGTGAAATATCTTGGGTTGCCCCTATCTCTAAGGAAGCAATCAGCGGCTCAGCTTCAATACCTGGTGGATCAGATGGCAAACCGCTTGCCAAGGTGGAAGGCGGCTCTTATGCCGAAAAGTGGTAGGCTCACTTTGGTGCTTTCGATTCTGTGTGCGATGCCCATCCATGCGATGATGGCTCTGGACCTTCCTGTCAAAACACTGATGGCCATGAACAAGATTTATCATGGTTTTCTATGGTGCCGGAGAGCGGAGGCTAATGCAGGCAATTGTGCGGTTGCGTGGGAGACCGTGTGTGCCCCAAAATGGGCAGGAGGGTTAGGACTGCCTAACTTTAGGTGGATGAACATGGTCATGGTTGCGGAGGACGGACATCAGTAGACCCTGGAGTGAATTCAAAATCAAAGTGCCACCCGAGGCGATGCAAATCTTTCAAGCGGCTGATACGTCTCCAACGTATCTATAATTTTTGATTGTTCCATGCTATTATACTACCCGTTTTGAATGTCTATGGGCTTTATTTTACACATTTATATCATTTTTGGGACTAACCTACTAACCGGAGGCCCAACCCGTATTGTTGTTTTTTTGCCTATTTCAGTATTTCGAAGAAAAGGAATATCAAACGGAGTCCAAACGGAATGAAACCTTCGGGAGCGTGATTTTTGGAATGAACGTGATCCAGAGGACTTGGAGTGCAAGTCAAGAAGTAGCCGAGGCCTCCACGAGAGTGGGGGGCACGCCCCTCTGTCTCGTGGGCCCCTCGGGCAGCCACCGACGTACTTCTCCCTCCTATATAAGCCTACATACCCTGAAAACATTCAGGGAGCCACCGAAGAAATATTTCCACCACCGTAACCTCTTGTATCCGCGAGATCCCATCTTGGAGCCGTCGCCGGCGTTCTGCCGGAGGGGGAATCCACCACGGAGGGATTTTACATCAACACCATAGCCCCTCCAATGAGTTGTGAGTAGTTTATCATAGACCTTCGCGTCCATAGTTATTAGCTAGTTGGCTTCTTCTCTCTTTTCGTATCTCAATACAATGTTCTCCCCCTCTCTTGTGGAGATCTATTCGATGTAATCTCTTTTTGCGGTGTGTTTGTCGAGATCCGATGAATTGTGGGTTTATGATCAAGTTTATCTATGAATAATATTTAAATCTTCTCTGAATTCTTTTATGTATGATTGACTTATCTTTGCAAGTCTCTTCGAATTATCGGTTTGGTTTGGCCTACTAGATTGATCTTTCTTGCCATGGGAGAAGTCCTTAGCTTTGGGTTCAATCTTGCCGTGTTCTTACCCAGTGACAGAAAGGGTTGCAAGACACGTATTGTATTGTTGCCATCGAGGATAAAAAGATGGGGTTTATATCATATTGCTTGAGTTTATCCCTCTACATCATGTCATTTTTCTTAATGCGTTACTCTGTTCTTATGAACTTAATACTCTAGATGCATGCTGGATAGCGGTCGATGTGTGGAGTAATAGTAGTAGATGCAGGCAGGAGTCGGTCTACTTGTCACGGAAGTGATGCCTATATACATGATCATGCCTAGATAACGTCATAATTATTCGCTTTTCTATCAATTGCTCGACAGTAATTTGTTCACCCACCGTAATACTTATGCTATCTTGAGAGAAGCCTCTAGTGAAACCTATGGCCCCCGGGTCTATCCTTTATCATATAAGCTTTCAATCTACTCTTATTTGCATCTTTGTTTTCTGCATCTATATTATAAAATACCAAAAATATATTTATCTTGTCATATTATCTCTATCAGATCTCACTTTCGCAAGTGGCCGTGAAGGGATTGACAACCCCTTTATCGCGTTGGTTGCGAGTTCTTTGTTTGTTTGTGTAGGTTCGTGGGACTTGTGAGGAGCCTCCTACTGGATTGATACCTTGGTTCTCAAAAACTAAGGGAAATACTTACGCTACTGTGCTGCATCACCCTTTCCTCTTCAAGGAAAACCAACGCAAGCTCAAGATGTAGCAAGAAGCCACAAGGTGCATGGCAAATAATGGGCTTAATACCTCATTTTGGGAAGACTGGTGGCTGGACGGGATGCGAATTCAGGAGCTTGCACCGGCTGTGTATGACATGGTGCCACGCCGGTTTAGACAGACGTGCACGCTTGGCCAGGTGGGAACAGATGGGTCCTGGGCAGCATGCCTCGGTCCCAACGTCAGTATGGTGGCACTGCAGCAGTTCCTATGGCTCTGGCAGAGGGTACAGGCTTGGGAACCAGTGGAAAATGTCTCGGACAGGTTAGTTTGGTCTTGGGAGACGACAGGACAGTTCACTGTGAGTTCTGCGTACGCAACGAAGTTCTGGGGAAGGAAGGTCATTCCCTCCGCGGAGTTAACTTGGAAATCACGAGCTCCGTCACAATGCAAATTCTTCGCGTGGCTGGTGTTGGGTAACGTAGTAATTTCAAAATATTTCCTACGCACACGCAAGATCATGGTGATGCATAACATCGAGAGGGGAGAGTGTGTCCACGTACCCATCATAGACCGAAAGCGGAAGCGTTAGCACAACGTGGTTGATGTAGTCGTACGTCTTCACGGCCCAACCGATCAAGCACCGAAACTACGGCACCTTCGAGTTCTAGCACACGTTCAGCTCGATGACGTCCCTCGAACTCCGATCCAGCCGAGTTTCGAGGGAGAGTTCCGTCGGCACGACGGTGTGTTGACGATCTTGATGTTCTACCATCGCAGGGCTTCGGCTTAGCACCGCTACGATATTATCGAGGTGGACTATGGTGGAGGGGGGCACCGCACACGGCTAAGAGATCCAAGGGATCAATTGTTGTTGTGTCTATGGGGTGCCCCCTTGCCCCCGTATTTAAAGGAGGA